CTCCTCCTGGCACTTCCTCAGGTTCCCTGGCCCGAGGCAAAAGGCACAGCCTGAGGTCTCCCAGCTTAGCACCAGGGCAGGGGAGGGCATGCCTTAAAGTCCCCTGACAAGCCTCTCAAGGCGGGGTGTGTGGCCTGAGGTCCCCTGCCAAGCCAGCCTTCGGTCCCCCACCCTGGCCCGGCTCTATGCATCCTCAGGTCCCTGCTGACAACTTGTTATTGGAATCCCACCTCCACTGTGGGTACAGTCACCTTGTGTTATGGGAACCCCATCTCTGCTGTGGGCACAGCCATCTTGTGACGGTGTGATGATTAATTTGCATATTACCTCTTTATATATAGGATTACTGTGGAATTATCCTTTTATGTCTATCAAGATTTGCTTTCCTTATTTGGTGCTCCTATGTTGGGTGTGTGAATTTTTATAAGAGTTATATCCTCTTGTTAGATTGCTCTCTTTATTATTATACATTTTAAAGTCTCAGATATAAGTATTACTGCTCTAACTATTTTTAGGTTTCCATTTGCATGAAATATCTATTTCTATCCCTTTACTTGTAGTCCATATGTATCTTTTGTTCTATGTAAGGTTTCATGTAGATAGCATATATGAGTCTTATTTTCTTAATTATTCAGCTACCCTATATATTTTAATTGGAGCATTTAAGCCATTTATATTTACAGTGATTATTGTTAGGTACAAATTTATTGCCATTTTAGTCTTTTAACTGTTCTACTTTTCTCCTTTTCCTTCTCCTTCTCTTTCTATTTTTCTTTCCTCTTCTTCCTCCTCTTCTTCCTCCTCCTCCCCCTCCTCCATCTCTTTTTTCAATTTCTTGTAATACTGCTTTGGTGACAATGGACTCCTTTAAATTTTTCTTGTCTGAGAAGTTTTTATTTCTTCTTCAATTTTTAAATGATAGCCTTGCTACTTAACTACTCTTTGTTGTATGTCCTTGCTTTTCATTCCTTTGAAATGTTATGCCAATCCCTTCTAGCCTAAAAGTTTCTGCTGACAATCTTATGGGAGTTCACTTTTGGGTAACTAACTCTTTCTCTTGCTTCTTTTAAGATTCTCTCTTTGCTATTAACCTTTGAAATTTTAATTATGATATGTCTCGATGTGGGCTTCTTTAGATTCATCTTGTTTTAGACTCTGCACTTCCTGGGCTTATGTGTCTTTTTCCTTCACCAGATTAGGAAAGTTTTGGTCATTATTTCTTCAAGTAGTTTCTCAATCTCTTGCTTACTTTCTTCTCCTTCTGGTTCCTCTGTGATAACGATGTTGTTATGCTTGATGTTGTTCCAATGGTAAATTAAATTGTCCTCATTTTTTAAACTAGAGGTCCAGTGCACAAATTTGTGCACAGGTGGGATCTCTTGGCCTGGATGGTGACCAGGGCCAATTATAGCTGGCTGTTTGGTGAAAAGGACTGTGGGAGGTTGGCTGGCCACAGGGAGTTGGCTGTGGGAATGCACTGACCACTTGGCCAGCTGTGGGGTGGGACAGTGGGAGGCTGGCTGACTGTAGGAAGTTGGCTGTGGGAGTGCACTGACTGCCAGGGGGAAACTCCTGCGTTGAGTATGGTCAGTGTGTGTCATAGCTACTGGCCAGTAGTCTGGTTGTCCAGTTGTAACAGTCACTTAGGCCCGGGAGAAGGACAAGCTACACACCCTGCAGCCCTAGGCGCCAGCAACTGCACCTGTGCCTGCGGCTTGGGAGAGGGATAAGCTGCCCACCCTGCAGTTCTGGGTGCCAGTGGCTGTGCCTGGGGCCTAGGAGAGGGACAAGCCACCCACCCCGCGGTCCTGGGAGCCTGTGGCTGCAGCCCAGGCAAAGTAGCCCACCCATGATCCCTGCGGCTGCGGCTAGCCCAGGTGTAGCTGGCCCAGATCCCTAGAGTGGGAGCTTGCAGTCAGCTAGAGGAAGGAAAGCCCAGGTCCCAGATTCCTCTGACCCGCTGGAGGAGGGAATCCTGGGTCCTGAGTGTGGGGCAAGGCAGAAGCAGTTAGGGGCGATCACTCCAACAGGGGAGCAATTAGAAGCAATATGGCTGGTAGGGGAGCAGTTAAGGGCGATCAAACAGGCAGGCAGAGGAGTTAGGGGCAATCAGGCAGGCAGGCAGGTGAGTGAGTGGCTAGGAGCCAGCTGTCCTGGATTGCGAGAGACAGTTGGACATCCCCCAAGAGGTCCCGGATTGGAGAGGGTGTTTGCCAGGCTGAGGAGTTTCTGATTTCTTGTGATATAATCCTAGAAGTGGGATCACTGGGTCAAATGGGAGTTCCATTTTTAGTATTTTTGAGGAAACTCCATACTGTTCTCCACAGTGGCTGCACTAGTTTGCATTCCCACCAGCAGTGAAGAAGGTTCCTTTTTCTCCTCATCCTCTCCAGCACTTGTCCTTTGTTGATTTGTTGATGATAGCCATTCTGACAGGTGTCAGATGGTACCGCATTGTTGTTTTCATTTGCATCTCTCAGATAATTAGTGACTTTGAGCATGTTTTCATATGTCTGTTGGACTTCCCTATGCCTTCTTTCAAAAAGTATCCATTTAGGTCCATTGCCCATTTTTTATTGGGTTGTTTATCTTCCTTTTGTTAAGTTTTATGAGTTCCCTGTAAATGTTGGAGATTAAATCTTTATCAGAGATAAAATTAGCAAATACATTTTCCCATGCAGTGGACTTTCTTGTTGTTTTGTTGATGGCTTCTTTTGCTGTGCAAAAACCTTTTTTATTTTGATGAAGTTCCATTTCTTCATTTTCTCTTTAATTTTCATTGCCCTAAAAGCTGTATCGGTAAGGATATTGCTTCAGCATATGTCTGGGTTTTGCTGCCTATGGATTCCTCTAGTATTGTTATGATTTCCTCTTTTATGTTTAAGTCCTTTATCCATTTTGAGTTTATTTTCATATATGATGTAATAACTTGGTTACAACTTCGTGTATGGTCTAGTTTCATTTTTTTGTATGTACTTGTCCAATTTTCCCAACACCATTTATTGAAGAAACTGTCTTGCCTCCTTTGTTAAACATTCATTGAGCATAATGTCATGGGTCGATTTCTGGGTTCTCTGTTCTTTTCCATTCATCTATATGCCTGTTCTTGTGCAAGTACCAGGCTATCTTGTTTATAATGGCTTTGTAGGCTAGCTTAATATCTGGCATTGTGAACCCTCCAATTTTGTTCTTCTTTTTCAAGATTGCTTCAGGAACCTGGGTTTTTTTTTTACTTCCATATCAATTTTTGGAGTATTTTTCTTGATCTGCAAAACATGCCATTGGTGTTTTAATAGGAGTTACATTGAATCAATAGATTCACGATTTGAGTAGTATGGACACTTGAATTATATTAGTTCTACCAATCCATGAACACAGTGTATTCTTACACTTGGTTATATCTTCTTCTACCCCTCTCTCTTTGTTTAACGTTCTTTAGTAAATGGTTTTGTTTTGTGTGTGTGTGTTTTTTTGGTTGGCCCCATCTGTTCTTCACCCCCCACTTATTTTCTCACCTTATTCCGCAATTTTTTTTTAATGCAGATACTTTATTGATTTCACCAATGCACTAGTAGATATTATACTAATAAATAGTACTTATAAATTATCTTAACCAAAAATATAACAAATATTTACACTCAGTAAAAATATAAAATGTATACAGAGGCACCATCTTTATAAAAGACATAAGTTTAAGAAGTATCAAAATAGGAGACAAACATTGCTCATTACAGGAAATTTCACAATCACTGAATTGTGCAGTATAATTATTATTAGACTATTATTACTGTACAGTTTTTTGTTTTAGTCTCTTGCTGAAGTTCACGTTTCAATTTTTAAAGATCAAGAACTTTCACAATTTTATTTACTTTTTCAGTGGTTGTATTTTTATCTACACTATTTGTTTTATTTTAGGAATTGCCTTAGGGTTTGTAGTATAAATCTTTTTGTAAAAATTGATTTTACATAAGAGACAGAGTCAGAGAGACAACGATGTGAGAAAGAAACATCAGTTGGTTGTTTCTCACATGTTTCTTGACTTGGGATCAAACCCACAACCTTGGTATGTACTCTGACCATGAATCGAACCCCCCACCTTTTGCTGCTCAGGATGAAGCTCCAACCAACTTAGCCATGCAAGCCAGGGCTATTGTATTTTATTGTCTCATGCTAATTATGGCCAATTTAAAAAAAAAATAAAGTTTTATTGCAACACAGGTATTTATTTAGGTATTATTTGCTTTTTTGCTTCAATGGCAGTGCAGATGCATGATAATTTAATGTTAGATGGCAGACATTATGAATTTAGTTTTCTTTTACTCTAAATACATGTTTTCTTATAAGTAGTAGCTGCCTTTGTTCTTGGATGCAATTAACCTTTTAAGTCTTATTTTTGCCATTGTATGTAGGACCAGAGCAGAATTTAATCTATGATTTTTTTTTTCCAATACTGAATTGTGACTTCTTAGTACTCTAAGTAACACCAGGTAATTATGAAGTATTTCACTTCTACTGGTGGGAACAGGCCCTTTCCTGGTCATTTGTAGATTCTGTATATTCTTTCGCTTAATTATTTAGGATTGTTTATTTCCTGAGCTCAGGTATTTCCTTCATATTCATAATTGGCAATTTCTTATTGGATGACAGACATTCAGAAATTTACCTTGTTAGGTGATGGATATTTTTGTATTCTTATAAATATTATTGAGCTTTGTTCAAGAATGTGTAGCTAGTTAATTCTGGTTGTTAAACTGGATCAAAGGTGAATTTAATTACAGGTTAATTTTCCTCTACTCTAATGCAAAACCCACTTGCTTATCTAATACCCTGTGAATTATAAGGTTTTCTGCTCTGGCTGGAGGTAACATGAATTCTTTCTGGCCTTGTTTGAGCTCTATGGATCTGTTCCTCTAATTCTTTCGTTGGTTCTTTTCCTGGATCAGGATAGTTTCTTCACTCACATGTGTTGAGCATTTCTCTGCTGAATAGTTGAGGAAGGTTGTATATATAACTCAGTTATTCTCTTTGTCTGCAATTTTCCCTTCTGTGCTCTATCTTGTGAATTTTACCCTTCTTTTCTTCTCAGACTCTGAGACTCTGCCTGACCTAGCAGTACCTACATTCCTGCTTGAAAACTCTTTCCGGGTAGTAAGCTAGGGCAGTTGTAGGGATTGTCTTATTTGTTTCTCATCTCTAAGTATTCACTGTCCTTTTGTTGTCTGATGTTTAATGTCTTGAAAAGTGTCTTTTCATGTATTTTGTCCTGTGTTTTACTGGTTTCAGGTGGGAGAGTAAATCCTGTCCTTGTCTACTTCATTTTGTCTTAAAGTGGTAGTCTGAAGGTAGCACTTTAATTGGGTGAATGTGGCTCAACATATCACTTGCAGAATTAAAATGTTGAGTGTGGAGGAGCTACTGTTGAATCCCAGAGTTTGGAAAGTTGCTATGAAAAAAGGAACAGTGTGCTTCTGGGATGCTAGCCAGTTCTTAAGTGGCTAAGGTCTCTGGCTTATATGTGTCTCCCTCCAGTGCAGATTATATGATGCATGAATATAGACTGTGATCTTGGTATATTGTTTGCTATAGAACAGAATTCAGAATATGGTCGAGTCTGTGTAGAACGCCCTTCCAAGGAGGGTCTTTATAGGACCTTGTTAAAAGCTGATCCCAAGACATAGAGGGACAAACAGTATAACAAGGCTCCAGTATTTGTGATTTCATGAGTTAGATTGTAGAAGTGTCAAGAATGTGTATGAGAATTCTTGTAGTCATTTCTAATTTTTTTTTAAACTCTTCAGACCTCCATTCTCGATGTGGGACTATCTAAACCCATACTAGCACAGAGATGCAGTCAGTAAGTTTTGATTCCTAAGTCTGGAATATTAGGTAAGAGCAAGCATTTTAAATGCATTTCCCAAAATACAATAAATTAGTATATGCATTGAACAGGCTTTGAAAATTATTTAATGGTTATTTATATCTATATATAGCTTATTAATAAGGAGTTTCTTATTGGTTATACTTCACTTATATGTACAAAAACTGTTATATCATCCAAAATATAGATTTTTATCTATGCCTTAGAAAACTATTTTAAAACTGTATTTCTAGGTTAAGAATTTTATAATGTGCCTCATGCATATTTTAAAAGGATGGTACCTCCTCAAATACCTCTTCTCTAAAATACACAAGAACACAAATACACAAAACTTTTAAGTCATGCCCTACTTTCCTAATATGAAGAAAACATATTAGGGTGAGTGACTGATAATGGTAAAGTTGCCAATTCTTTTAGAATTAATTTATCAGCTTAAGAAATTCCCAGTAAATCCACCAATAGAATTTTTGATTGATATTGACAGAATGATTTTGCCAGCTTATTTGGAGAAGCAAACAGATGAAAAATACCAAGACATTTTAAAAATAAAGAATACTATTTTCTTGCTCTACCTCTTCAAACTTTATAAAGCTGCTGTTATAAGCTAAGCATATTATCAACACAAGACTAGACACATTATGGATAGCCCAGGAATATTCTGGCATATATGACTTAACATATATTATTATGTTAGAAAAGTTATCAGAAGTTAAAGACAAAGATATTTATTGTTAAGTAAACAGTATATGAGAAACTGGTTACATATTACATAAAATAAACCATTTTAAAATGTCATCCTACCCAAAGATAAATTTTACTTATATTAAAGTGTAAATCTGGGAAGATCATTATTCTAAATGAAGATGCAGCTGAATGTGTACAAGTTGACTATTGAATGAACATCTCTTTAATCATTAAAATAATGAAGCAAAATCACACAGAAATGATTATATAAATTTGACTGCATAAAATTGTGAATTATTGAATATCAAAAACCAGCACAAAATGTGGAAAATACTAACAAGTAATATAATGGAGAACTGACATTTTTAATATCTAACAGACTTATACTTATTGAAAAAACAGTAAGTCCATACTGGAAAATAGGCAAAATCATTACTTATAATTCACTTAAATAATAGGCCACTAGACATGAAGAAAATGTATAGCCTAACAAGAAATATTTAAATTTAAGGAATTTATGTTATTTTTAAATTAAATTAGAAAATATTTGTAAAAGGGCAATATTCAGTACTATAATGTATGTGATAAGATAAATGCTTTTATAAACTGCTGATGTGAATTATTGTAACTTTTTTGCAGAATAATTTTTTTAGTATGTCAAGCAAATTGTACTATTTCTTCTCCTTGACCCAATATTTCTTGTTTATTTCTCAGGAACTCATATTGGAGAAATAATCATAAATATAAAAACATATGTACATGTTGAATAATTATTTAAAATAGTGAAAAACTGGAAATGAACATTTTGATAGATTATGGTAAATTAGTATGTTGTTATTATAACACTACTAAAACTTCTTTATAAATAAGTTTTAAAGATATGGTTGAGCAGTCAACCCAGGCATGTGCCATGACTGGGAATCATGATTTCTTGGTTCATACGCTGACACTCAACCATTGAGGCAATCTCATCTCCCCAAACAGACTGTTAGGTCCTTGGAGAACTTACATATTCTTACTATGAACACTTAAGAGTTAAATCATAAATTACCTTAAATACAGTAGGGACTCAATAAAGGGTTTTTATTTTATACACACACACAAAAAGATATGGGACAATGCTTATGATATAATAAACAGGGGGAAAGGAGGCTACTAAATACTGTTTGTGTATTAGCATGATCTCAAGTGTATTAAAACACATATATACATACATGCCTGAAAAGACTAGCAACGGTCCCCTCAGGGTAATGGGGTTATAGATTACTTTCATTTTGAGGGTATTTTTGATAGGATGATTAGTGAATAGGAAAATACTAATATTAGGGAACCTAAAACTTTAAAAAATGATTTGTAGCACAGCATATGGCAGAAGCGGCTTATGAAGAAGGGGAAGTTCTTAGGGACAAGTATTCTTGTGTTCAAATCCTGGTCCTACTGTGTTATTCTGGGCAAGTTCGTTCATCACTGATTTTTTTCTCCAAATGTAAGGTAATGATAATACTTACCTCATAGTATTGCTTGGAAGATTGTAATAACCTAACGAATGTCAATTGACTGGAAGTAATTTCTACTTAGTTAAACTTATTTGCATCCATCCTGAGGCTTTCTATAGAGAAAACTTTATGACAAGATAACATGCTTGTCATAAACTGTAACCTCGGCATAATTTCTTTAATTTAGAGTTTGAAAGGTTTTTGTTTAGGGTTTTTTAATATATTAAGTTTCAATTAACATTTTTATTAGCCTTCCTCAGAAGTTAAAGTAACAACTATTTTTATTCTTAAAATATATTTCATTGATTTTTTTACCGAGAATAAGGAAGAGTGATAGAGAGTTAGAAACATCAATGAGAGAGAAACATCTATCAGCTGCCTCCTGCACACTCCTTACTGAGTCAAGGTACATGCCCTTGACCAGAATCAAACCTGGGACCCTTCAGTCCACAGGCCAACACTCCATCCACCGAGCCAAACCGGTCAGGGCAGTATTTTTATTCTTAATGAAATATCAAATGGGAATGATGTTCTCATACTTTTGCCATTATGTCAAATGGACTCTTTCAAATTTTAATGTACAGTCTTTTTCTATAAATCATTTTTAAAAGTAGGTGGAGTATCAAAATTTATCTTTAGCTGACCATTCTCCAAAATTTTACCTGAATCTGATTAGTAACCTGAATCTGCATTGTGTAATTCGGTGGTCATAACTCTAAATGGTGAAGCCAGTTTTGAAAATCTTTATGATACTTCTTTCAAATTTTACCCTTTCTTAATAATCAAATAACCAATGAAAATCAAAATTTCTAGACAAGTTAGTTGTTTTGCTAATTGGAAGCCCTTGACAAATCTTAAAAATTGCAACTAATGATTGACTAGCACCTAATTCTGTGTGTAAATTAACACCCACTTATGGATGTAGACATAATCTATTATATAATCATAATACCTCATAGTTACACACATAACATTTTACAATTTATGAAGCTTTTTTCACCCATGTAAATTAATTTGACACTTACAACCTTATTCGATAAACAGATATTGTTATCCTTATTTTACAGGTTTAGAAATTGAAGGCCAGAGGACTAAGTGTCATTTCAAACAATATACTCTTAATTCTGGTTCCAAGTCTCGTTTTCTTTTCACTCTTCCTAGAAGCTCTATTCCCGGGCATAAAATGAGTGAGGGATACATTGCCATTAAACTGATGTACTTCATTAGCAGAAGAGGCCTGGAACTATCCCTTAGGACAGAGATTTGGTTTAGGATTTTGTTTAATATGAGTTACTAATTTAATACTTGGTGTTGGTATATTAGAGACTTTGAGTTAGTAGAACAGCTCAAAGACAAAAATCTGATATGTAATAGACAGTGAAAGATAAAAATAGAAATAGTGGAATTGCCAATGCTAAACCAAAATATCCTGTATACTTTAAAGAACCTCTGAGTATTACTATATTGTAGCAGAGTACTAAAAATGATAATCATATTAAAGTAAAGGGTAAATCCTATATAGTGTAGTTAGTGTAAGAAGATATGCAAACTACAAAATATCTTTTAGGAATATTTACATTTCAATAGCTAATATTGAAGAAGATACCTAAAGTGGTTAATTCCATCTATTTCTCATATTTCCTTTTTTCTAGATTTGTCTGTTTACTGATTTTTAAACAATTAAAAAATATTGAAAAATTGTAAATTATTATTTTATTTTAGGTTCTGTTTACAGAGGAAGATGTGAAATTCTACCTTGCAGAGCTAGCCCTTGCTTTGGATCATCTGCACCGATTAGGAATTGTATATAGAGACCTGAAGCCAGAAAAGTACAGTTATATTCTCTTTACATATCGCTATTACTAGTGTTATATAATGACTTTTTTCTCCATTAAATATTTTATTAAAGATAATATGAAAATATATATTAATTTCACAGCTATATGAAACTTATAGAAAGTAATCTTCATAAGATACCCATTGATTTTATTTTTTTCAAGTATTCACTTTTATTTATTCATATGATAGTGTTGTACCAATGCATTATTTTTTAGTAGTGAATAAAATATGATGCTTTACTGGAATTTGGTATACTTTTTAGCAAAACAAAAACACTGAAACTAAAGTTACAAAGCTCCTACATTGTACTATTAAACTTGGACAAAATCATTTCAGAAAGCTATGCCATTTAAATCCTAAGAACACAAGAGTCAACATTGCAGCTCTCATTATTCTAAGGAGCTCCCAAGCAGAGATAAATCTTAATATTGAGTATTACACATGTCAGGTTTATCCCAGTACAGATTGCTCCATGGCAGAATACCCACATTTAAAATTATAGTGGTACAAAAACACTACTTGACCCTTTAGATATTACAGTGAAATCTGGCTGTGGCACCACTGGCTAAAAACCATTAAGTCTTGCTGCCACGAATGACCAAAGCCCTTGAATAATCAATAATAAGACACTAGACCATTTGGTATAAGCCCAATTATAAAAGTGTAAAAGATGGCTCAGAACTCTGTGTGGCTTGCCTGTGATCTTCAGCTATAAAAGACCCACAATTGCAAACATAAATTTAAATGGAAATAATATAAAAAGGATAATTAGTGGAGCAAAAATTCAACTGACATGTTTATAAAAATGGTGATATGAGTCTGGATATTATTGCTCAGGGTATTCTAAATCCCACTCGTTTCCTGATATGAACTGGATTCCAATGCTTTAACCAAGGATGTTTTCTAAGTAACAGAAGCTTATTACTCTTAATAGTACAAGGATTTGTATGGCTTTGAACTTCCTGGGCATAGTGATTACAAAGAGATGCAAAATACTGTTTTAATTATTTTAAGGTGTTTCTAAAGATTTTCTATTGAAACTTAGAGTTTATATTTACTGAACTTTTAAAGAAAATGGTAGAAGCTCTTATAAAATATTATTTAGGAAAAGTTGACTTGCTAAACTTAAAAATTCAATAAAAATTAAAGTGCATTGGAACCTCATGGCTTGTGATTTTTTAAAAAATGAATGCATTATAAAAAACATGTTGGTTAAAGAAATGGATGGAATCTGATTAGAAATAATTTGGCATCCTTGTACTGCTCTAACATACAAATCCAAAATATGTCAAGAAAAATTAATTTTAAAATGATAGTCCAATAGGAGAAATAAATGTGTATACATTTATGATTAAAATGATAGAGTATTCATTAGGATCTTTAGAACAAGAAATGGTCTAGAGGGGTGGGGGCATTTCTAGTGTAAGCGGTTGAAGTTACTTTGGAAAAAATACATCTAATTTTATTTCTCTTCTTGTTGTTGGATAACAAGAAAAACCCATTGATTTTCAATTAATTGTTTATTTCCAGTATTTCAAATAGACACTGACCTATTTTAATTTTGTAAAGATTTTTTTATGAAATGTTTTATATAAGCTATTTTATTCCATCTTATTGAATGTAAATTTTTATTTACAGCATTTTGCTTGATGAAATAGGACATATCAAGTTAACAGGTATGCAAATTTTCTTATTCTACCCTAAGCTTGTTTTATATTTTTTCATTATTTTCACGTTTAACTAAGCCTATTTTCTCCCCTTTTCTTGATTTAATTCACATTTTATTCTTCTCTTTTGTGTACAAGAGTTCATTTAAAGGGTATTAAGATAGCTCTGAATATGGTCTAATTATAATATCAAAAAATTATACAATAGAGTTGCTGCCCTAATTTAGAAATTACATTTGATTTTTTAGGTAAAAATACATTATCTTAGTTTTAGTCTAGAGTAAAAAAAAGTTATAAGTAGTTATCATATTTGTAAAACTGTGAATTATAAACTTTGAAACCAAGTGTTTACAATCAAAAGTTAATTTTTTTCTTTGTTTGCAAAACATGGTTTATTTTATTTTTAATATTGAGGAATGTATACACTGTTCTTCTTAGGCATAACACATCCTTAATATATCATTTTAAAAACATTTTATTTTGAAATAATTCTAGATTTATAGTGAATTGCAAAAATTGTACCAAGAGGTACCCAGCTTCCCTAATGGTGACATCTTACAAAGCTGCGTTACATTATCAAACCCAGGAAATTGGTACATTACAAGTAACTAGACTACATGCTTTACTTGGATTTTACTAGTTTTTGCATACATTTATTTTTTATTCATCTTTGTGACTTTTTATCATATATACAGAGTTCAATACCACCAGGACAATCAATATTCAAAATTGTCCTACAAACACACACACACAAAAACTATCTTTGTCCATTTATTGTTACACCCTCCCTCCTTTTCCCCTAATTCCTTATAACCAGTTATCTGTTCTACATGTCTAATTTTGTTGTTTTGAAAATATGATATAAATCGCCAAAACTGTTTTGGCTCAATGGATAGAGCATCAGCTTGCGGATGGAAAGGTCGCGGGTTTGATTCTGGTCAAATGGCATGTACCCTGGTTGCGGGAACATCCCCAGTGGGAGGTGTGCAGGAGGCAGCTGATTGATGTTTCTCTCTCATCGATGTTTCTATCACTCTATCCATCTCCCTTCCTCTCTGTAAAAAATCAATAAAATATATTTAAAAATAATAATAAATCAATAGAATCATACAGAAGTCACATTTCTGGGCATTTGTCCTAGAGGAGTAAAACCGGGTGTGCACACAAAAACCTACACATGAATTTTCATAGCAGTTCTATTTGTAATAGTCAAAGACTAAAAATATCCTAAATGTCCTTTAAACTGTGAATGAGTAAACATACATCCATGCAATGGAATACTACTACCCAGCTATAAAAAGGAAAGGATTAGTGATACATAAAGCAACTTGGATGAACACAGGGCATTTTGCTGAGTGAGCCAATCTCAAAAGGTTACTTATTTTGTAAGTAAAGAATAAATTCTGTATTTAATTATCAGAATGTTAAAACAGATAAAGTGAAGATGTGGTCTTTACAGGGAATTTTGGACCAGTACACTTTAAAGGTAAGTTGCTTTAAAATTCCTAAGTATACTCCTTCACTGTAAAGAAAAGTATAAAGCTGTTAACATGAAAACTCAAGCAAATGTGATAAAGTTCAAATAATGTTTAGTGAATCTTATTGATTCATAGTCTCATTTTCTTATTCATATATAAAATAAGCAAAGTAGATTTATAAGGATTAAAAATAAAAGGAAAGAAAAATATGAAGAGGAGAGATTTTAGTTTTATTTTAAATTTGTGCACAAGGGGGTGTTCCTCAGCCCGGCCTGCACCCTCTCCAATCTGGGACACCTCGAAGGATGTCCTACTGCCAGTTTACAGGGATTGGGCCTAAACTGGGAGTCAGACATCCCTCTCACAATTTGGGGCTGCTGGCTCCTAACCACTCACCTGTCTGCCTGCCTGATTGCCTCTAACCACTCTGCCTGCTGACCTTCTCGCCCCCAACTTCTCCCTGCTGCTTGCCTCCAAATGTCCCCCTGCCAGCCTGATCACCCCCAACTGCCTCTCCTGCTGGACTGCTTGCCCCACCTGTCCTCCCTACTGGCCTTCTCGCCCCCAGTTGCCCCCTGCTGGCCTGTTCACCCCAAACGTCTCCCTCGCTGTCCTGATCACTCCCAATGCCCCCCCCCCCACCGGCCTGATGACCCACAACTGCTGTCCCATCCTGGCCTGATCACCCACAACTGCCCTCCCCTCTTGGCCTCTAACCACCTCTACCTTGGCCCCATCACCAGAGCTTTGTGCAGAAGAACGTCCAGAAGGTCTACTGGAAGGTCTCCCAATCTAATTAGCATATTACTCCTTACCACCCCCACTGGGGATGTGCCCACAACCAAGGCACATGCCCTTGACGGGAATGGAACCTGAGACCCTTCAGTCCACAGGCCGATGCTCTATCCACTGAGCCAAACTGATTAAGGCAATATAGGATTATTTTTATTTTTTATTAATAAATTATATCTATTTTTCAGGGATGAGAAAGAAAGGTAGGAAAAGAGTAGAATAAATCATACTTATATTTCTCTTCTACATTAAGATTAATTGGATGAATAATTATTTCAACTTGTTTTATGTTTAGTCTTATGAACTGTATTTTGCTTTTACACCTTTTGAACTCAAACTAGATAAGGAGGGATGAGTAGTTAAAATCAATGTTAATTTATAAGTAATGGACACAAGGCTTCTAACAGGAAGAAAATGTGATCTGTATATATATAATATATTGAGGTAACATTGGATAAAACCATACAGGTTTCTGGTGGGGAGGGGGAGATATTTCTCTCTTCTCTGCATCCTGCATGGAAAAGGAAAAAGATCAGGTTCCTCAGTGGAGGAGCAGGGGATTAAGAAATTAAAGAAAGAAAGAGAGCAAGATGCAGAAATAGATTTATAAAGCTGGGAGCTAGGTGGGCGCCATTCTCTCTGATGGAGAGGCAGCGAGCACCCTGAGCCCCACAGCAGGTTTATTTTATATCCTAAAAATCCAGAAAGTAACACCAAAATTTAGGATCAAAGAAGCTTATTTGTATTCTTAACTAGGCCCTAGCATTACTGGATTTACATATCTAGACCCGCCCTGCTGACACCTTGACAAGGATAAGAAGTCAGAACTGAATAACACCCCCTGCCCTCTTGGGGAGGGGTTTGTAACCATGGGCATGGTTCTGCCAGTGCCTCGGGCTCAGCTGACAATTTAAAAAATGTCCATGTGCCTTCCCAGGGGTCTCACTATGGGTTTCAAGTGTAAACTTAGCAAAACATCATCTGCATATCCATTATCCAAAGTAAAGTTTCTTTTTATCCACTTCTATCCCCACTTTGCTCTTTTCTACCTCCCCCTACGCCCTTTCCTTTTGATTAACACATACTGTTGAATGAGTATATATATATATAGTGTGTGTATATATATATATATATATATATATATATATATATATATATATATTGTATATATATATAGTTTATTCCTAGCCAAACCCCTCCTCTCTGACAGCTGACAGTCTATTCTATATATCTGTTTCTATTTCTATTTTGTTTGTTAGTTCATGTTTCTATTTATAATTTGTTAGTTCATTAGCTTCCACATATAAATGAAATCATATGGCATTTGTCATTCTCTAACTGGCTTATTTTACTTAGCAGAATTTTCTCCAGGTCCATCCATGCTGTCAGAAAGAATAAGAGTTCCTTCTGCTTTATGGCCGTGTAGTATTCCATTGTATAAATGTACCACTTTGTTATCCACTCATCTACTGATGAGCACTTGTGCTGTTTCCAGAGCTTGACTATTGTAAATAAAACTTCAATGAACTGGGGGTACAAATATTCTTTCGAATAAGGGTCTCCACATTCTTCAGATATATACCCAGTGTAGTTTCTGGCTTAAAAGGCAGTCTCATTTTTATTTATTTTTTTTAGATAACTCCATATTATTTTGTATATTGGTTGCACCAGTCTGCATTTCTACCAATCGTGAATGAGGGTTTCCTTTTCCCTACATCCTTGCCAGTATTTGCTGTTTGTTGATTTATATATGATAGCCATTCCAAATAAAATGAGGTGATATCTCATTGTGGTTTTAATTAGTATCTCTGATAATTAGTTACCTTTAGCATATTTTCATGTCTATTGGCCATTTCTATGTTCTCTTGGGAGAAAAGTATCTTTAGGATCTTTGTCCATTTTTTAATATATTTTTTTGTTTTGGTATTGATTTTTATAAGTTCTTTATATATTTTGGATATTAACCATTTATCAAATGTATCATTGGTGATATGTTCTCCTATTCAGTAGGTTATCTTTTCATTTTAAAAATAAATTATTACAATATATTTTATTTCTAAATGGGATGGAGTATTATTAAATAGCATTATGAGTTGAGAAGTTAGATATTAATTAGCTGGCAGCTCTCTTCCCTAGC